TTCCCGGCTGGTAGTGGTTAATCAAGCCGTCAAAATCGGAGGATATGAGAAATAAAATCAACTGAGCTGTGTTTCTGCACGAAATCGGAAAAGGTAGTAATTAATCCATATTCTGCAGACTTCTTGCACACATAGTAATTCTCAGTCTCTTGGTGCGGAAGAGCTAAACAACCGCTCAAATCTCCCAACTGGCATCTTGCCATCTTGCTTAGCTGCAGTGCAGAAACCATAGTCATTCAAGAAAAAGCATGTTATCTGTTTAAACGCGATGCAAAAACAGTTGCAATAAAGTGATTCACTGTCTGAGTGATAGACTTGTGGTGTTCCATGGCGGTCACATTTCCCGGGGGGTTCAAATTTACTGTTCAGCAGGGGGACAAATTTACCTGGAGGGGGGACAGATTTTTCTCAGTAAATGTGTCCCCGAGACGCTTTTACCGCGGTGCGATCTGGGAAAAGTGTGTAGGGGGACACACTTACCAGGGGTGACAGTTATGCTGTTTATACCAGAACACTTGTGGGTTGCAAAGTTGTACTGGAGTTGTGCCATGGAGGAAGGCCATTTGGATATAGATGATCCCTTTTGCACGGGGAGAAGACTACGGAACAGAAATATAAGAGATCTCATCTTCCGGCAGGTGAGGCTGGCATATTTGTGAAGTTGTTTATTGCAAGCCTATGTGTCTCCTGAAAGACGCAGTGAAGGTTCGGACCTTGGTGTAGTCCACTGGGTTTATAGCTGATTTGAGGGGGCTTCGGTGGTGGAGATGTCCTCATTGAGGTGGCTCAGACTGGATCTGGTGTAAGTGATGCGTTAGTGTAGAAAGGCTCGGCGGGCTTTGCGGAGAATGTGACTGGATCAGTGGCTGTGAATTAGATCATGTAGACGTAGGCCTCGTGGGATGATGTCGGAGCCTCATCACCATTTGATGAACCCTAGGCTATTGATGTACTTTGAATACTTGATGGACGAGCATTAGTAGAACCTAACTTGCTGGACAGTATGCTCCCATAGAGAAATGATAAATAAGACTTGAAGCTTTGGAGGATGTCCTTTGTATTCTCTTCCTCTTTGCTAGTGACAGGTTTTGCCCTAACAATGGTTATTCAGGTTGTCAGCAAGATGCAGGTACACCAAATCAATGATTGTGTTTTATGCTTGACCAGAGCTGTGAAACTACAAGTCCATGTTAAGTGCCTTGCCTGCCTGGTCACCAAATGACCCATCAGGTGTAATGCTGTGTGTGATAATTTAAATTTAGTCAATGGTAGCTGAGTTGATCATGTGACTAGGTCATGATCTGGGAGCTGATTTGCCCCCAAGATTGGTAAAACCAAGCATTTCTGTTTATGCCACTATGCAGACCACAGGCAACCATTTTTTCAACTTACTGCTGGGCCACTGCATACTGAATCATCAGTAGTAATGGGGGATTCTGAGCCCGTAATTCTCCAAATTTCCTTTTGCACAAGTGTTGGTCCTCTGTTCTCTGAGAGAAATATCAAGCCAGCTGGCTGTTACCCTGAGTTGCCACCCAGGCCTATTAGTACCGGAGGACTTCAGGTCTGCGTCAAGGTACCAAACGCTTCCAGCTAAGCACCAAGCCAGGACTATCCAGGGAGACCAGGACTGTCAAGGCTGGGACTTGCACGGAAGACTGCAAGAATATCTGGACCGGGGTTTCAGTGGAGGCTGCCACCTTTCCTGACCAAGCAAAGACATTGGTGGAGGTGTTTTATCCAACTATCTCTCAAAATGATAGGTTTATGACCACATAATTTCTGTCTTAGAAACAAAATTAGTAAGCAAAGAAATATGTTGTTCTTCAAGTAGTAACATGTTAATAAACTCAGAATGAAAAACTTTACTCTATGGCCTTGCAATGATGTAAGGATAAATTAACATACGTGTCCTTCTCTAGGTGTATGATATTGCTTCTACCACATAATGGATCCCCCTAATATATACGTGTGGGCCAATTCTGCTAGAGAATTCCTACACAAACTGTTGATACGATATACAAATTTCATATGTGCTGAAAAGACTTGATCATCCATGGTGCACCTTGACCTCCCACAATGCACTGCGGTCATGCTGCCAGGTTTTTCCTTTTCAAAAGCAACCCAGGTCGGAGCCAGAGTGGGGAGGAGGGGTGGCTGAGGACTGTTTGGGTATGTATTCTCTGGCAGACTCATCCCACATGTATGTGGGGGAGGAGTCCACTGTATTCAACCTACCCAAACAGTTCATACAATATACAGAGTGGTACCAGTCTTAGGTGGGGGTTGGCTAGAACGCATGTGCTGAAAATGATAAGTGTAAATTCCTTAATTAAAAATGATTATAATAAATTCCTTAATTATAAATGATAACAAAATTATGTACTAGCAAGCTTAAACCTTCAGCTTCAGAGGGGCAAGGTCACTTGACCTCAAAAGCTTTCCAAAAAATGAGGGGGGGCAAAGGCCATTTTCACAATTTTACATGTTGATAAATTAATTGTTACTACATTTGTTCTTTGCTTCAATTTCAAGAGGGTGTTTAACTTTCCAAGTTGCAACCCATTTCTTTCATTGCTTATTTCAATCCATGGAATTATACTGAATTGTTGTACAAATCAACAAATACCAAGGAAATATACCTCTCATTTACCATTTGGTGTTGCACTGTGGTGTCTATTACTTTTCATAGGGCCAGAACATAGTTCTGTTTCTGTATACATGCACATGCCTCTCGTAAATAGGGTCATAAGTGAAATTTTTGTGCTGATTGAATGGCATGAATGGGGACAAAAGCTATCAAAAAATTGCCAAAAAAGTGATACAAGCTTGTCTAATCAGTGTAGAAGTATCTACAGTTGACAATTCTTAAGAATAGTTGACAATTTACACCAATGTGCACAATGCTTGTTACATAATCAGGACAGCAAAGTGGCCAACAATGTCCATATATTGCGTGGTAAGCAAGTGTGATGCATCTAGAGGGGTGGGCAATAACCTATTGCTGTGGCAAGAAATTTTGTGGAAACATGCTCGCTTCACGTACAAGCAATAAAGCCTCAAATTCATGAACACAGAAAGACATACATAGACAAGAGATCATGTTCTGTGAATTAACTTGCATAAGTCGTCCAGTAACATCCATTTTTTTTACAACATGCAGTGGTAAAGCTGTGTGCATGTACCATGTAGTGAAACGATGCTATTTTGGCTAGGATGTATTGGTTGGTTGCCACATATCCCTCATGCCTTATTTGGCATAGGTGCAGTGCAGCGGGAACCAGTGCAGCATTGCTTCAGTGCATTATTGCGCACATTTTCACCATTGTGATAGGAGAATGCGAATCCGCACAGTTCAAACGAGGTCAACTTGATGAAAATAATTGAAATCAAGGCATGACAACATGAATGTGAAAACATGCCTCAAATTTACCCGTGAGATACTACTACAAAAACAGAGAAAATTTTCATAAACTGTACAGTTCAAGTAAGGTCAACTTGATGAAAATAATTGAAATCAAGGCATGACAAACAACATGAATGCGAAAACATGCCACAGATTTACCCTTGA